TTCAAATTGAAAATATAGTTCTAAAATTTAAATATCTAAGTTGGTCAAAAATTGGTTAGAATATATGGTCTAAAATTGGTCAAAATATATAGTTCCGACCATTTTGATTGATCAAAAAATTTTGATGATTTTATTGGTCATAATCAAAATTTTGACCACTTTATTAGTCAAACCCAAGATTTTGACCAGTTTTATTGGTCAAAACGTTTTGACTATTTTCTGACCAAATTCCATTTGCGACCATCGATTTTTTACGAATCGATTTTGGTCAAGTATTAATCAAAAATAGTTGTTTTTGACCAATTTTAGACCAAATTGATAGTCAAAATTAGAATGTTTTTTTGTACTGTTATTTCTTTTTTACTCTTTTTTTTGTTGCTTAGAAAAATATTTCAATGCAACTTTAGACATTTTAAAAAATATATATAGCATTATGAGAAGACCACAATATTTGTTTTAGGGATATAGACTAAATGATTTTACTATTTTCTTTTAATTTACAAAATAATTTGAGAAATTTCAAAAAATGCCACACTTTTGAAATCTTTACAAAAATGCCACTTTTCAAAATTATTTTTTCTTTATATTATTTATGTTTGGGTTAACTATGTTCTATTAGGGTTTAGTTATGAGGGTTTAGGGGTCAAAACATTTTTTAGTGTTTAGAATTTTAAGATATAGGGTTTAAAAATCTATAATTAGTGGCATTTTTGCAAATGAACACCCCTAAATGACATTTTTGTAAATGTGCACATAAAAGTGGTATTTTTGCAATTTTCCCAAATAATTTTGATGTGAGATGTATTTGTAAAATACACATAAGTAGAGTGGAAAGTTGAATGTTTTTCCAAGTTTTATATTGTTTTTCGATAATACGTTATATTTTCATTTTAGCACGTTAATAATAAATGATACACTATTTGTAGATATGATACATCATTTATAGAAGAACCATTCGATTTGTTAAAATCTATAAAATTCTGATTTTAGGTAATTTCAAATTATCTGTTTTCACACTCATTTTAATCTTAAAAATCTACAATGTGCATTGTGTAGAATTTAATTCGGATGGTGATTGAATAACACCATTAACATATATTTACTGAACTGTCATAGTTTTTTAGATATATTTTTGATATGTAATAGGAACAAAAAAGTTAATAACATGAGAAGGGTCACATGATACCTTGGATGCAAATAAATGAGACCGGTTTATAAGGAAATTGACTTTTGTTGGGTGCAAGTGTTTGGTTTCTTTTTTTCTTTCTGACATTTTCGCAATCTTGGTTGGTTTGGTTGTATACAGCAAATCATGGCGTTTGTTTTGAGGCAAAGCATTGTATCTCCCAGATGAATTATTCCACCAGTTTTAATATATACTGTTACACGCACATATAATAATGCCAAAGTAAAATTACAACTTCAAATTTTTTGTATAAGATATTAACCAACACGTTGACAATATATGTAATATCTCTGCATAGATATATTTGACATAGCAATTGTTTTATATTAAGAAAACATTGAATTTCTTTAGATGATTGATTTATCAGAATTTATCTTTAATACTAATAATTTATCCTGGGATGATTTTTCGCATGCAAATTTAGTGGTAACCCTTGAATAAACCAAGTCAAATTGTTCCAAAAATACGACGATAAAATTCTCGACCTTACGGAAAAATCGATATACAGTTAATTCCCAAAATTAGATCCGCTCAAAAACACCACTATAAACCAAGTTTTAGTCTTTTAGACGTTGTCCAAAAATATAAATATTAGATATTTGTTCTATTGGATATTTTCCCATGATATTTTTCTTTTCTCTAATTTTTTTCTTTCGTTATGATGGTTGACACCCTGTAATAGACTTGAATTTCAATATTCTCCACCAAATTAATGGGTTCTAATTAATGGCTACGAAGTTTTTTGCTTTATCCTTGTCCCCTCCTTTTTTTTCCCTATCCTCAACTCATTTCTCTTCTCTTTTTCTTCTTTTTTTTCAACCAAACTTAATGCATTTCCTTATCAATTTCCTCTATAGCATAAAGAGTTACTACACTTCCATAACTCTTTACCCATACTTTTACACATACACATGCACAAAGTTTAAATAGTTTATCTATCGCCCATCGTTTAAGTAGCTTAACCATGTTTTAAAACCATGACTTTTGTGAAATGTTAAAACTTGTTACATTTATTTGTTAACTTTCATAGAAATACCAACTAATGTCACTAGTAATGTGACTCACTAGACAGGATTCTTCTTGTGTTCAAATATATTATTGTCCTTTGGCAGAAAAGCTTATAACCTATGAAATAATCTACAAAAACTTATACATTTTCTAGTTTCTACTTTAAATAATTGATCCACATCTATCTTAAGGTTTTGGATTTGAGTTTAAATAAGTGGCATTTTTTTTAAATTTGTCTTATATATATGTGTAACTTTGTTTACTATATAGCAGTGGTTAGAAGTTGGTGAACCATCATTCTATGACTGTCTACTAAATTCCATTGAAAGAGTTCTTCTTTACATGTGGGACGAAGAGAATCCAAAACAGTATGTAATTATAATCATAAAATATCCATTTTCATTCATGTTGATGAT